CTAGGATTCAAGCCCAGGTCTATCTGAGACTCCAAACACTGTATTCTTTGTGATAACACACGTTTTGCAAAAGTTCTCTCATAGGAAATAGAGGAGCATGTATTCTTTTTATTTTTTTATTTTTTGTTATGTTAATCACCATTCATTATATCATTAGTTTTTCATGTAGTGTTCCATGATTCGTTGTTTGTGCATAACACCCAGTGCTCCATGCAGAATGTGCCCTCTTTAATACCCATCACCAGGCTAACCCATCCCCCCACCCTCCTCCCCTCTAGAACCCTCAGTTTGTTTTTCAGAGTCCATCATCTCTCATGGTTTGTCTCCCTCGAGGAGCATGTATTCTTAATAATTATTACCATTGCTCTTCCTCCCATTTCTTTATGGTTGGGAATCCCTGAACCAGATGGCAACTCAAGAACTGAAGCAAAAAGAACTTTGCAAGTTTTGGGGACAAGTTACTTAAACACCCTCCAGGCAGTAGAATTGCCGGAAGCTGGGAGTCGATTTTATCATTGTTATTTCTGTCTTTCTGGAAGGAAAAGGGCAAGAGACAGGGACTGGGGAGAATTCTCAAGCTTATACCAGTTTCTAGTCTTCAAATGACTGATCTCATATTACAGACAAGTATAAAAAATGGTAACAAGCACTTTGTGAAACCACTAAGCTGTGTCTTGCATAGCCGGTGAAGTTCTTGAACTGGTCTAAGCCATTTATTTATAGGGAAGAAAAAATATTCTGATGAGAACCATTTTCTAGTTTGACAATTTTATTTTAGTGTTACTTGATCTACTTTGAAGCCTCCTGGGAAATCAATGCTACATTTGACTTCTCTTCATGTCATCGTGTTAGCTATTAGATGGCTAATTCGCTTCACAAGATATGCCAATATGAGAGGCACTCAGTTCACATTAGGAGTAGAATTTCACCACTCGATGGTCAGATCTTTTATGATTAAGACAGAAGAGCAATCCAAACACAGCAGCCAATGAAAATGCCCTCCAATCACCTGCAATCACTGCTCTTGGGTTTCTAATGGAAGTGGTCCCACTTAGCACAGATCATGCAGTTCTAATTTATCCTAAAAATAATAATGTGGTTTGGTTTGGAAGTTCAGACTATGGGAAGCCCTTCTATTCTCTCTCAGTAACAAGGGTGGAACAAATCCCAACTTTGTGGTCATGAAACACTCTTCCAGGACAGAAATGAAGAAGTTCTGTGTGCATGGAGGTGTGTGCATGCTGATGTGTGCACATTTGAGACTACCACAAAAGAAGCACTTGAACAGATTATACTGGAGTCCACTTTTACCCCACAGAAGTTGCCTGTGAGAGAAAAGGAGAAATAAATCACAAAAAAAGGGGGAGAAATCCTGGTGTTCTGAAATTATATAATTTTCATGGGACTACAGATGAATGTCTGACTTCAGTCGGCCTTGGTTATCCATTTCATTAAGTAAGAACCTCCCTGCATCCTTCCCAACTATCCACTTTAGCCATTCTAGAATAAGATGACAAAAATGTGTACAGAAAGCATTACGATTCTTGAATACGTTCCAAAGCAAATTTCACACAGTCTCCTCATGGAGAATCCAAGGAAACAAAATAGGATGATCTATACCCTTGGCCCATGTCTTTATTCTTTCCTCTCCCAAACCTTGTGTGGAGATGGTCTTTGGTGAGTAAGAATAAAGTGACAGAGACTGTTATGACAAAAACAAAGAGGCCGTTCCCATTAAAAATAGAAAGGTGAGTCTGTCAAGGCTATTCTGGCCTAAAGTTTCTGAAAGATGTAGCTCCTTAAGCATGAATGAGGGCCCCAGGATACAAACTGAAGCATAGAATAAGACCCAGCATAATAGTAGCAGAGTAGGCAAGAGAGTAAAATCAGAGAAAAAAGAGGAGTTTGGGATATATGTCTAGAAGGACTTGTATGGACTGAGAAGTTAATTTATAAGAAATATGAAAGGGCATATTTTGTAGACATTCTTTACATCCTTTGTGGATAAAAAATGTGTTTCAGCTATTAAATAGATTTTCACTATACTAATGAAACATACCAGCATTGTGAAAGGCTTCATCAGAATTTATCATGACCACTCTTGGCTCAGCCACCAAACAGGTGGACACCTGCGGAACGGGAGAGGGCAGATGGGCAGAACTAGGTCAACGGAAGGCAGGCTCCTCAGAAAGTAATGAGCAGAATAAAATTAAATGCTGGTGGTGGGGAAGGGCCCTGTCCTCTGAGTGGGGGTACCTTAGGAAGTGTTGTACTTATTTATATTCGTAAGTTGAACCCAGCCACCATTGGATAGGGAATCTGAATAGGATGGCATTCATTCATGTATCCATCCATTCAATCACTTATTCAATTTTTGAGTGAATGAAATAGTGTCTATAGTAACCAGGATGTGAGATGGATGGAAGAGATGGTCCCTCACTGGTCAGGGCTTGGTAACTCCTTAAGAATTAGACTGCCAACCAAGCAGACCTGTATACAGGGAGAAATAAGAGCAGGGTTGGAAGTCGTCAGCAAGGCCAAGGAAAAAACCCAGTTGCTTGTTAGAGTGCATGTGAGTGAGTGCTAAGATACTCTCTCATCCTGGCCTAAACACACACACACAAAATGAATTACAGACTGCAACAAAGGTAGTGACCAGTCTCATAGTATACTTTCAGTCTTAGTCAGCAGTGGTCTAAACAGTGGGTGGGACAAGACCCCAAGGTGAAAGTCTTCAGCCCACCAACCTAGGCCAGCCTAGACTGGGCCACAGAGTCATTGATGAAATGATATACACTGAAGCATAAGTCCTACAAATATGTCCTCATGCCCCAAACAACCACCAGAAAAGAGGGGAAAAACAAAACATAAAAGCCAGAGTGATGTGTTTACAAAGAGAAGCTGAGCTATTAGCCATGCTGCACTTGTTTGTGTAGGCTTCTGCTAAGGGGAGGGTAAAGGTGCAGGACTGGATGGGAGTCAGAGATGGCTAGGGGAAGAAGCTTCAGTGCTTAATTGGGAAGAAGTTCCAAAAAGGCTGTAGGCAGAAACAAAGTGTGTGACAGCGTCCACCCTGCTCTGAGTGGTGAGGCTGTGAGGAGGAGAATAAATAGATTAGTGTCATTTTAGAGGTGTTCGCTCTCTCCATTCAGCCACATAATGCAATTATTTAGTAGTTCAGGATTCTTTTAATTCTGTTTGAAGAACTTAAGAGGTTAAGGGCTTGAAATGATAAATGCATTATTAATGTTGCCTCAGAGAAACATCCAAGTCTATAATTTCTGAGGGAGGGAAAAAAAAAAAAGACTAATAGGTTTTTACTCACTTTTTTTTCCCCCTGGTAAATTAACCTACAGGACCTGTGAGAAATGTATAAATTAGAAATTATTAGAGAAAGTAATAATGGACCAAAAGCCATCATCTGAGGTCTGATTCATTAGCAAGAGTGATATGTGCATCCTTAGTTTTGGGGTGTCTTGTACTAAACCCTATACACCTGGGAAGAAAGGGGTTAATAGCACAGGAAAAGGAAAGGTTCTCACCAGGAAGGGTACATACATTCTTACATAAGATCCCACTAGGACACGTGATAGTTATGGAAGACAAAGTGTATAGAAATAAAGAGCCTGGGTTTGGGAATACAGACCTAGGTTCAAATACCAGCCCAACCAACTATGAATTGTATGGCTTCATAAATCCAGAAAGGTTGAAAATAAAGGATGGAAAATAAGGTATGTGAAAGAACCCTAATCCTAAGAAAGCTGAATTTCAGCTTGTATTAATATCAAAGTAAACTTTAAGACAAGGAGTATTACCAGAGATAAGATGTCTGAAAACCTCTTTTTGAGTTCTTTGTTGTTGTTTTTCAGTGTCATGACCTTAAAATTCTTCCTCATTTGGGACATCATATGTCTATTAAAAAATCTGCATCACCCTTTATTCCTACTATAAGCTACTCTGAGTGTGACTACTCAAAGTGCAGGAGAATTGTGTCTGAGAATGAGCCCTGTGTAGGATTTCCCCTAGCTCCCTCCCAGTGAGTGGATGCAGAGGCCGTACAGATGGGCTAAAGGAGTTTCTCACCATTAGAGGCTGCTTTGATACAGTTGTGGGTCTTACGAATCACCTAACCAAATTCCTTTGTTTTATTTCATAAACATTCTTCAAGCATTGTCTGTGTAATAGATATTGAAATAGGTTCCATGTATACAGAGATGAATTTGGTCAGGATCACTGTTTTCAGAAAGCCTACAATCTGCCCCATAAAATTACATTGAAACATAATATGTTTTACAACAAACTTATAGGGAAATTTGGGGGAGATTTTACTTTGGGCATTTCTAGAGTAAAACCTTCCCCAAATCAGTATGGAGAATGAAACCTCTTTTGAGGTGATAATACCTGATGTGAATCAAACTGTGCTTTGAGCTGTATCTGTGTGCTCTGCAACCTGGTTTGGGCCACTTTTGCAGGATGATTCTCAGCTACTGCCACCAGCCAATTTCATACCTGGCCTTATGGTTCTTTCATTGTGTCTTATATCCTGCCCCCCCTCCCTCTCAATACCCATTATAATCCCATGAATCCACCAAGGCTTAAGGCACCTATAACTACCAGATTCTAATTTTATTTAATATGGTCTCTATCCTGCCTATATCACCTCAGCATGCACCATCTCCGTGTTGATGGTTTCCACAGTAAGCAGTTGCAACTCTTTGCCCTAATATTATCTCCAGCCACCAAAGCATGCCCAGCAAGCCAGAAGTGCTAGGGAGGTAAGTGCCCAAGGAAGCAGTCCTACACCAATGGCTAACAGGAGCTGGTCGGAAACATCTCAGCTTTCTTCCTCTTTAGGAACACAACACCAAAGGCTATTTTACATTGCATCTGAAAGTTCTCCATAGAGAATGAGTCCTGATTTCTCTCAGTAAGCTGGGGGATAAGCCAGTCTTTATTGTCTTCTTTCCCTTTCCTGAGTTATTTCTCCTCTCTTCTAATAGTGCTTCCTGAATCATCTGCCAAGCCGACCACTTTCAGAACGACAATTTAAGACTGGACTTGACTGTCAGGAAAATTAGGAGGAGGAGCAGAAAGAAGATGGTAACCACAAAATGAGGAAGCCAGCTATGCTCCTTCCAAGTCTCACCCAAGGACCCAGAACAGGTATCCAGAGCTCCAAGTTTCTCTCCTTCTGGTAACAGAGATCCTCACCAAAGTAACCCAAAAGTCAAGGTCTGGAGGCCAAGGACCTCCCAGGCTCCAGTGGAACCTCAAAAGTCAGAATGTCTTTGATGAGCCTGGGTACTGTGATCGTGACCAAGGTGCCTGGGACCTTGGTGATGTGGAAGCTCTTATAGAGGGATGTCTGAATGTCTGCAGGCCTGTGTCAAATATGTCATCTGCCATGGAATGTACCCAGATTTTTCCATCAGCATTTGTTTCTGGAGCAACTAACCTAAGATAATCTACATCTAGAGGCAGAAGCATTTATTCTTCATTTGCAGTTTACTTGAAGAAGCTTGAGCCTTTGGGTCAAACATATTTAGATAACAGTCCAATTTCTATAGTCAGGTATCTTTCTGCTGTAAGTGACTACCACAACTCAAACTATTTTCAGCTAAAAAGGGGATTTATTTACTCACATACCCAGGAAGTGAAGGGGTTTCATATGGCATCAGATAGGGTTTGATGCAGCCACTCAATGATATTTTTTTTTAATTTTATTATGTTATGTTAATCACCATACATTACATAATTAGTTTTTGATGTAGTGTTCCATGACTCATTGTTTGAGTATATCATCCAGTGCTCCATTCAGTACGTGCCCTCTTTAATACCCATCACCAGGCTAACCCATCCACCCACCTCCCTCCCCCCCTCTAGAACCCTCAGTTTGTTTCTCAGAGTCCATGGTCTCTCATGGTTTGTCTCCCCCTTCGATTCCCCCCCTTCATTTTTCCCTTCCTGCTATCTTCTTTTTCTTTTTTTTAACATATAATGTATTATTTGTTTCAGAGGTACAGGTCTGTTATTAAACAGTCTTACACAATTCCCAGCGCTCACCATAGCACATACCCTCCCCAATGTCTATCACCCAGCCACCCCATCCCTCCCACCCCCCACCACTCCAGCAGGCCTCAGTTTATTTCCTGAGATTAAGAATTCCTCATATCAGTGAGGTCATATGATACATGTCTTTCTCTGATTGACTTATTTTGTTCAGCATAATACCCTCCAGTTCCATCCATGTTGTTGCAAATGACAAGATTTCATTCCTTTTGATGGCTGCATAGTATTCCATTATATACAACATCTTCTTTATCCATTCATCTGTCGATGGACATCTTGGCTCTTTCCATAGTTTGGCTATTGTGGACACTGCTGCTATAAACATCGGGGTGCACATGCTCCTTCGGATCACTGCATTTGTATCTTTGGGGTAAATACCCAGTAGTGCAATTGCTGGATCGTAGGGTAGCTCTATTTTCAACTGTTTGAGGAACCTCCATACTGTTTTCCAGAGTGGTTGCACCAGCTTGCATTCCCACCAACAGTGTAGGAGGGTTCCCCTTTCTCCACATCCCTGCCAATATCTGCCGTTTCCTGACTTGTTCATTTTAGCCATTCTGACTGGTGTGAGGTGGTATCTCACTGGGGTTTTGATTTGGATTTCCCTGATGCCGAGCGATATTGAGCACTTTTTCATGTGTCTGTTGACCATTTGGATGTCTTCTTTGGAAAAATGTCTGTTCATGTCTTTTGCCCATTTCTTGATTGGATCATTTGTTCTTTGGGTGTTGAGTTTGATAAGTTCTTTATAGATTTTGGATACTAGCCCTTTATCTGATATGTCATTTGCAAATATCTTTTCCCATTCTGTCGGTTGTCTTTTGGTTTTGTGGACTGTTTCTTTTGCTGTGCAAAAGCTTTTTATCTTAATGAAATCCCAATAGTTCATTTTTGCCCTTGCTTCCCATGCCTTTGGCAATGTTTCTAGGAAGAACTTGCTGTGGCTGAGTCAATGATATTTCTTACTCATCTCTTGGTTCTGATATCCTTTTCGTCAGCTCCATTTCCAGCTGGACTCTATTTACAAAATAGTCAAGAAGGAACATGACCTAGTGATTCCTTAAGGGCCTATAATTGGTAGAGGACTGTGTTTGCAAAGCTTTGAATTATATGGAGGAACCCTGAGTATGGGATCCAGGTAGATGCTCTACATTTTAGGTTATGTCTGGATCACATCTCTACTCCTACAGCCTGCAGTAATGTCAGCCCCACAGAAATCACATGGATTAAGGATGAGGGAGGAGAGTGTTCCAAAGGGAAACAAACGGAGCTCTGTTACCAGAGGAAAAGAGAATAAATGGTGGGCACAGCAAGTTATATGAGTGACAAGATCACTTAGCCTTACTGCTTAGTGCAAAGAAGGAAAGAAAGGAGGGATACTTGAAGAAAGGACTCAGGGCATTGGGCTGACTTTCTTGGTGGTGGTGATTCCTCTCGAGTCTGACTTCTGTCCCGTGTCATTCTGACTGCATGATCCCGTGTTTCACAAACTTCTCCAATTAAAGAAGAACATAGTGACATGAGTAAAGGTTTAGGAGACAGACAAAAATGAGCACAAATTCTTATTCCCGTGACTTAATAAAATATAATATACAGCTGACTATTGAATAATGTGGAGCACTGAACCCCTGTGAAGTAAAAAAACTGACATATAACTTTCGATTCCCCCAAAAACTTACCTGCTTATAGCCTAATGTTGACCAGAAGCCTTTCTGATGACATAAACAGTCAGTTAACACATATTTTCTATGTTGCACATATTATATACAGTATTCTTAGAATAAAGTAAGCTAGGAAAAATGTTATTAAGAAAATCACAAGCAAGAGAAAACACATGTACAACACTGTACTGTACTGAAAAAACTCCACAGAGAAGTGGACCAGTGCAGTTCGAACTCCTGTTGTTCAAAGCTAATGAAACAGTAGCAGTCATGGGCTGAATTGCCTCCCCCCCCACCTCAAATTCATATGTTGAAGCCCTAAGCCCCAGTACCTCAGAATGTGAATGTATTTGGCGATAAAACCTTTAAAGAGACAATTAAGTTAAAATGTGGCTATTAGGGTGGGCCCTACACCAATCTGACTGGTGTCCTTATAAAAAGGAAATCTGGGCATAAAAAGGGACACTAGGGGCCTGTGCACAGAGAGAAAAGAGCGTATGAAGACACAGTGAAAATGTGGTCATCTGCAAACCAAGGAGAGAGGCCGCAGAAGAAACCAAACTTGCCAACACCTTGATCTTGGACTTCTGGCCCCCAGAAGTGTGAGAAAATAAATTTCTGTTGTTTAAAACCCCCAGTCCAGGGAATGTTGTTATGGAAGCTCTAGCAAATAATATAGTAGTACCAATTATTGAGCATTTATAGGATTGCAGTCATTGCCCTAAATGCTTTTATAGAGAGGTCATTTAAATCCAATGGCAGCCCCAAAAGGTGGGATTATGGGTATGAAAAGTACAGCATGGGATGGTGAGTGCTGTGAATTGTGTAAGACTGATGAATCATAGACCTGTACCTCTGAAACAAATAATACATTATCTGTTAAATAAAAAAAAAGACAGTAGGAAGGGTAAAATGAAGGGGGGGAATCGGAGAGGGAGACAAACCATGAGAGACTATGGACTCTGAGAAACAAACTGAGGGTTTTGGGGGGGGTGGGGGCATGGGTTAGCCCGGTGATGGGTAATTAAGGAGGACATGTATTGAATGGAGCATTGTGTGTTATACGCAAACAATGAATCATGGAACACTACATCAAAAACTAATGATGTAATGTATGATGACTTATATAACATGATAAAATAAAATTAAAAAAAAAAGTACAGCATGGGGAATACGATTAATAATATGGTAATAATATTATATGGCAATAGATGGTAACTACACTCACCCTGATGAACACAGCTGAATGTATAAAATTGTCAAATCATTATGTTGTACACCTGAAACTAAAATAATATTGTATGTTAACCATACTTCAATTTAATTAATTAATTAGTTAATTAATTAATGTAAAATAAGTGTGATTAGTTTACAGATTGTGTAGGTGGAGGAACTGACTTTTGGAAAGATTAAAGACCTATTTAAGGCCATGCTGAGAGCACATGGTTCTAATCAGACTGTATAACTACCTACTTGAAACCTCCCCTTGAACATCTGAACATGACAAAAAACAAACTCAAGGTCTATTCACCAGACCCAGTTTTGTCATCTGAAGTTTTCTCCACCAAACATTTATAAGCCAGACTCCAAAGAACCAGTTTTTTTTTTTTTATGAATGACACCCTGCCTCATCCTTCAAATCTAATCCATCATGAAGTCTTGTTTATTGGACTTCATCTTTTCACACAGTGCCTGACACAATAGATACCCAATAAGAAATTATTAACTTTGTGAAAGTAGAACTGATATGTTTAGCAACAGAAGAGATGGGCATCAGTGTACATTAGAAGGAAGGTCAAAGATTATGCCAAGATTTTAATTCAGGAAATAAAAGGCAGTCTGCAGAAAGTTCAGGTAGATTAGCCCTGAAGAACTCATCAACCTCACAGTCATTCTCCCTCTGTTCCTATACAGGCCTCTCTACTGTTCTCCATGCCCTGAGAATCTGCTATGGTCCAGACCATTATCTCTCACCTGGATTAGGTCAGCATCTCTCTGTATGATTTCTCTGATGCATTTTCCACTACAGCCAGAATAATCAGATTAATTCTCCTTAAAACACTCCATGGTCTCTCTCACCAGGTAAACGTTTGCCATATGACCCAAGTGATCTTACTGACTCTCATTCTAACCCTAAATAAGGCACAGATGTAAACAATGGGCAAAGAACTTAATTTTGTCAAGGCTGTAACTCCAATTGTGGCCTAGTCACAAAAACCACAGATTATTTTTTTTGTGTCACACCAAGTCACTTCCCAGGAAGCCTGGTATAATATAACAGTGATATTGAGAACAAAGGTCTCTTCATCTCGGCATGGAGGAAACAGACCTAGGTAGGGCTCCTGGAAATCGTCTTGCTTCTGCTATGAACTGAACTGTGAGTTTTAAGATGAGCCAGGCCTCCAAAACTTGCCTCATCTA